TGCTGCTCTGCATCTCCTACTCTTGCTCCTCTTTCCCCTTCGTCTTCTCGTCCTCCTTCAGTCTGTACCGTTTCTCTTTCTCCTTCGCCCCCTCCTTTCCCCACATCCTCGCTCTCGCTTTATTCCCTTTCGCTATTGTTGTGGTTGTCCTCCTAAGCTTTGCAAAAGCACTTCTTTTGCTTGCAACACAGAACCCCCAAACCCGCCAGAGACAGCACATTGGAAAAACCAAAATGCGGAAGAAACGAAATCAGACCGTAACCCAACGCATGTGGTTGAGTGGTAAAAACGTATCATGGTGTTTCAGTCTAAAACATGTGGAGGGCGCCACGTCTGCATATTGCACAATTGCTTGCGGAAGTAAACAAATCTAATTCATTCGTTGAAATCCAGCAAATATTCAATACGATACACTTTGGGCGAAGGATTGTTCCATGCTGAGATTCGTCCTTCTTCACAGAATTCCTTTTCCACCCGCCTGCCGCTCGGATGACAGCAGGTAAACACACCCCCCCACGGGCTTTTCCGACCAATGGGTGAGAGACATCTATTCTCTCTGATTCTCTGTTGAGAGCGATTTTGTGTCAGCTACCAGTTTCCTCAAGGCGGGACCTACGCGGGAGTCGCGAAAACAGTTTCAAAATACACTTCGGGCAAAAAGCAGTTTCAAACTGTTTTTGTGGCTGTACTGGAGTTATCCCTTCTTTAAGCCATCGTAGCAGAATCACGCAGATGCTTTAGATGCTTTATTAGAACAGTGTGTAGACCGGAGAAACATACTGTAAGTCCTCTCATGCCATCTATCTGTCTGAGCTTGTTGTGCATGCTGGACTCTTTTCTGGCTAATGGGCCTAGTTGCACCACTCGGCAGCCACCAACTTTTTGAACTCATAACACCAACAGATTCATTCAGAATTTTGGCAAATAACTGCCATTTCGTCAAAATGGACATATTTTTTGAACAAAATTGAAACCAAGTTTTTTTGCCCAGAACTCGTCAAAATTTGTTGTTCCTGAGGTTCCGGCGTTTGTAAAATGCTGGACCCCCTGGCTGTACATGGACCTAGTTTGAAACCACCTCCAGGGAGTCCTGCCTGGAGGTGCCTGGTCTCAAGCTAGGTCCATGTACAGCCCGGGGTCCAGCGTTTGTAACACGCTGGACCCTCAGGGGACAGCAAATTTTGACGAGTTTTCAATTTCGTTCAAAAAATAATAAATGTCCATTTTGACGAAATGGTCGTCGTGCAACTAGGCCCTTAATCAGCAGAAAGCATATTAGTGTAATAGGCAAGCACAGATGCAAACACTTGGTCTGGTCGGGGTACCCGGTCTTTCCTTGATCTTCTATCAATCCATCATAAAATCTTTCATCGGTAGTGAGATTATGACAAAAAACGAAGAAGAAGCCCAGGCTAACTCCGTGCCAGCAGCCGCGGTAAGCCGCCGGGGGGGCAAGTGTTATTCGGAATGACTAGGCGGAAAGGGCACGTAGGCTCTGAATTAGGGCACGTAGGAAGTCGCCAGCTCAGCTGGTGGAATGCCTTTATAGCAGGGGATGTAACAAGAAAACTATTTGCCAACTGAAAAACGCGCATTTTGGAGCGTCAGATGGTTCCGCTTGCAATCGAGGGGATGTCCGGGGGCGTCTGGTTGTAAATCGAGCTGTAAGACTCAGCCCTCCTCTCTCAGCTTCTTTGTGCGCTTTCTGCCAGCACGTGCGCATGCCCTCACAATTGGTATTAATTTGGTATAGAGAGCAGTCGACCACAAATGAGACAAGAGGGCCAAAAAAGGTCGGACCTTTTCTTGCCGACTGTAAGAGCCTGTTTGGCTAGTCGTGTTTATTTGCTTGGCTACACGATCCAGCGGCTGCGAGTGTGGCAAATCAAGGAGATGCTTCTGAGTGAATTGCGCTTACTACGACGATACACTGTATCACACAATTCCTCACTTAACACCAAAGCGACATAGTCATCACTCTTCTCTCTCTCTCTCTCTCTCTCTCTCTCTCTCTCTCTCTCTCTCTCTCTCTCTCTTTCTCTCTCTCTCTCTTTTTTAATCTACTGATGGACAGGCCGATCTATTGAGATCGATCTATCGATCGGCCCATTTTCCCATCCACATTTTTGTCTGATAAAACACGCCTTTCCGTGCATCTAAAACAATCAATGCAATCGATGGTAAGGATTCTGACAATAGAGCAGCATAACTAAAAATCATCATACTTACATGCATCCGGAGCCAATTTGATTGGAGTCCCGGAACTAAAGCTGTAGCTTTTTGCATATCTTTACGTGTACTCAAAAGTACAGAAAACAGTAAGAAACATTGCAATTGGTGCAGTAGTTGATGATCCTCGTCTCTGCTCAAAATAGCAGAATCCATACTGTACTCTCCTTTCTTTTTCCTCTAAATTTTTTAAATGGCAGAGGCCACCGAACAGCTCAAGTTATGCGTGCCATCCAGAAGAGAGGCAGGGCCCATGCTGCTCTGCTCTGAATCGTTCCAATTTTGACGATCGTCCCGAATGACAATTGCAGAACAATAACGCTTTTTCAGAGGCACGGAGAAATTGGTGGGACCAGTGTTCAGCTTCCTCTCTTCTGCTCAAACAAGACGTCGAGCTTTTCTTCCATGTTCGCATACACAGTATGACACATGACCGCTCGAAGGTTTGGAGCTCCTTACCCCATAGCCTTCCTCGCCAGTTTCCGTAACGGATAACGCTACCGCTATCAGCCGAATAGAACGCCCCGTCAGTAGAGCTGTATTTGGGCAAGCAGTCTAGATACAGCGATAACGACAAGGCGTTCTACTCGCGTGAAGAGGGTGGTAATCCAGAAAAAGGCGTGTTGAGGTCCAAGTACTACTACTACTGCTCACGGCATTTTGCCCCGTCGTCACTATGAGAAGAACACATAACAACTAACATACTGGAGTAGTTTTGTCGGTTGAATTATGCACAGGGTCTATGCCGCACTTCTCTGCATCGTTCCCATCTTGACGGATGTTCCGAAGAACAGCTCATTATAATGGCCTTTAGAAGCTTATTATTCTACTAGGATATGGCCATTCGCGTCTGCAAATGACGACGGATAGCTCCCTTTGGCGTATACCCAAGGGATGCTGTGTCCCTTATCTCATACCCGCTGATGTTGCGCTTCTTTTTTGTCTTGGGAAGTGTTCCATTCGTGGAATGGACGGAAGAGCTCATCACACAGGTTTGGCCATACAGCGTGATCCTGGTCGCCAAATACGATAGTCATTCATGATGGTCTTTTTTCCCATCTGTCGCGGTGTATTATTACTGCTAATTAGGACTAGTACAAACATCTGTATTTGTGCCGGATTCATTTTCCTGTAGGCCTTTCTTGCCAAAAGGGGAAAGTTTGGGTGCGAAAAACCAAACAGGTTTTCGTGTCGGCGGTTTCTACCAATCATCCCTCATACTCCTTATCGTTTCTTTCAAAATTTCATCATACTCTTCCAGAACCTACTAGGTTCGACCTTCTCAGTTCAGACAGCCACCTGTTGAGTATTCCTCCCCTTCCACTTCATCCCAGTGACCTCTCTCTCTCTCTCTCTCTCTCTCTCTCTCTCTCTCTCTCTCTCTCTCTCTCTCTCTCTCTCTCTCTCTCTCTCTCTCTCTCTCTCTCTCTGGTGTG